GGGGACAGGCGCACGTCCCGGGCGCGCCCGCCGCGCCTCGTCGGCGTTTCGGCCGGGGGGGACCCGGCGCGGTGCCTTGAGGGGCTCGCGTGTCCCCGGCCCGCGCCGGAACTGGGGTCGGCGCACATGGCGGGGAGGCCGGGGTCGCGCGGGGCCTCTGCGTCCCGCGGCCTCCGGTGAGCCGCCCGGGCAGGGGCGCCGCGGGGCGGGCTCGGCAGAGGCGGCGTGAGGCGCCCGGACCCCGGCCTCGGGCGGAGCGCCTGGGCTCGCCGCGGCCGCCCTGCTGCCGGTGCCCGGGGACGCGCGCCGGGTGAGGCGCCCGCCGGCGTCGGCCTGGTCGCGTGGCGAGTGCCGCCGGGAGCCGGGAGGGGGCCGCCGCGGAGGCTCCTCGCGGTCGGCCCCGAGGCTGCTGATGGATGGCCGTGCCGAGGCCGCGGCCCGCAGCGGCTGGCAGCCGGGAGCCCGCGGAGTACGGAAGGACCTCGGGGACTCGGGACTTCGGAGGGCTGTGAGTGTCACCCAGCTCCGCGGGCCGTGGCGCCGCGTCGCAGCCCTGAACTTGGAAGTCGCCGAGAACCCGGGAATTTGTGCTGCTCTGCGGGAGGGCTCGGTCGCCAGTGTCCGCCCGGTGCTTAGCGACCCCGGTGTGCGGCCTAGGGAGGCTCCCGCGGCGCCTGGGAGGGAACCTGCTGCTGACTGGGCGCCGGTGGCAGGTGAATCCGAAGTGTCCAGTGACATGCACTTCCCTCAGAACTCACCCCTGCTGTCGCCTCCAGGCCCTGAGGTGGGGTGGACAGCAGCCACGTCGTGTCGCTCTGACATGCATGCTTCTGGCCTGAGTCTTGGCAGTGCCGCTGGGCAGGGGCTGGCCTCAGGACCCCTCCCCTGATGCGCTCACACCTGGGATGGCTGTCTGGGAAGGCTGGCAAGGGATCATCCTTCTGTCAGTCCCACTTTCGTGGATTGAGCCCAGAGGTGTTCTGCCAGTGAGCCACATCGCGGGACGGGGTCTCCCCAAGACAGGGCCTGGCTGAGTTGCCTGGCTGCCTTCCAACTTGAGATCCTCCTGCCTTGACCTCCCTGGGATTACAGGTGTGTGCCGCCCCCACTCTTGGGTTTGAGTCTTTGAAGGAAGAGATTAGTTTGTCTGTGAGCAGCCTGGTGCAGTAGAAGTAGAGTGAGGCACCCAGAGTTTACTTGGCGTTGTCCGCCTCCTGATTCTCACAGCCTAAAGACTGGCTCCTAGGGCAGGAAGGAGTGAGGAGTTTCATGTGGGCCACTCCCCTTCCCTTACTAGAGGTGCTGAAGTGCCAGGCTTCTGAGGCCTGAGCACCAAGTGGGGGAGTGTGGAGCTAAGAAGCATGGGTGGGAAGGTCTGAGCCTAGGGTGCCCTGCTCTGCCTGGCTCTGGGAAGTCATCCTAGCCTTGGTTTTAGGTCCCTCCCATTAAAATTCTGAAACACAGGATTACAAAGAGCATTGTTTTCTAGAGTCTCACCATGAGTGGCTGATGGGTGACAGGTGTCTGTCTGATCATTGTTCCCAGGTATTGGGGAGGCCCATGCCTACATTGCAGGTGGACAGAAAGGTTTTGAATTGTCACCTCAGGTGCACAGACCACATAGTCCTGCCAGCCTTCAAAGTGACAGACTGTCATGGAACTGGAGGGAAGGAAGTTGTGGAAGATTTTATGTGATGTGTTTGTCACTGTCTGAACTACTCAGAATCACAAGAAAGGGACACTGGAGACCTTTGAAGAAAGAGTCACAGAGGAAGGAAAGTCACAGATAGTGGAAAAGACCTTGGAATTTGGTGTGGGCACACTTGCCTGCTGGGCTGCAGCTGGACAAGGAGGATGGGCAGCTGCTAAAGCTGGGTGTTAAGGAGGGTCTCTGAGTCTGTTTTGTGCTGCTATGACAGAGTTTCTGAGACTTGGCAGTTGATAAAGAACAAAGTTTGATTTCTTCCAGTTCTAGAGGTTGAAAGTCTTAGATCAAGGGCCCATGATGAGTGAGGGCCTTCATGTGTGACAGAGGCACATGGGAGAGAGGGGAGGGACTGAACTTATCCTTTAGGTCAGACTCAGTCCTGTGCTAAGGGTTGGGAATCCAGTCAGGACGGCTCTGTCCTGTGATCCAGAACCATCCTGAAGGGTCCCACCTCTCAGCTCTTGCACTAGGGATCACCTGTCTAATTTTAGTGACTTTGGGGGAAGCAGTGCTGCTGTGGAGTGGTCCACACACAAAGGGCTTGGGTTCTTCTGAAATAATTTATTGGAATGGCTTTGGAAAGTAGACACCCAAGAGTTGAGCTCCCAACTGGACCCAGTGCTTGCTCCCTGTGAGCAAGAGCAGGACAGGTTGAATCAGAGGAAGCCATGATTTGAAGAGGAGGCTGTTCTTCGAATGTTTAGAATCTAGTGTGTGGGGAGCACAGACAGCCCTTTAGGGGCTTTTCTTACATGTTAGAAGTTACTCTGAGGAAGTTTTCCCCCTGGGTATTGTGGGGTGTCCAGGGCACTGCAGAGTGCTGAGGAGCATCTCTGGCACCCACTCCTTGTTGGAACAACCACACATGTCCCAATGTAGGGCCCAGTGTCTCCTGGGGACAGAATTGCTCAAAGTGAGAGCCCACAGTTGGGGATTATCTTAATGCTTCCTGCATTTTGAAGTCATTCCTGCATGCAGCGACTCTGCTGACCTTCTCTATTACTCTAGCTTTTTTGGGGGGTGGGGTGTGTTGCCAGAGTAAGCACAGTTTTACTCCTTGTGGCCTGGTTCCAATGTGTGCCTTCATTTGTTCTGTGTGGATTTAGGACTTATTTCCTGTGTTGGGCTGGTCTAAGTCCTGCAAAATTGGCCACAGATTTGGAATGTGTTTTTAACTTGCATTTGATTTCAGAGGTTTAGTAGGCCATCTGCAGAGAGCTAGCACTGTCACCCCGGACGAGGGCTAGTAACTCGGTGCTCTCCACACCTCCTGGGAGCACAGTGGTCTTGATGCTAACCCTTCCCTTTGCCAGAGAGATTGAAGCTCATGAAGTGAGGGAATTTGGCTTAGGGTTACCCAGGGAATGGACTGGCCAGACGGGGAGTCCCAGGCCCTTCCACTGTCCTGGTGGCACAGAGAATGCATGTGGGCTGGGCCCCACTGTTCTCCCATGTTGCAACTTTGTTGTCTCTGTGTGTAAGACCTTTTGTCCCAGGCAGGCCCAGTCCTGTGGCACGACTGTTCCTTTGGAAGGTGCTACAAGCAGTTGTGCCACTTTACCATGTCATTCACTATAATTGATGTGAATGGTGCTTTAGGCAGGAGGCCACCTCCTTGACAAGTGCTTTGCTTTAGTCTTTTTTTTTGGCAGTGCGAAGGATGAACCCAGGGCCTTGGACATGCTAGGCAATCACTACCTCTGAGCCACATCACAGTCACATCCCAGCCCTTAACATGCTTATTGACTTTGTTTGGATCAGGAGGATCCTGGAATGTCTGGGAAGGTGGAACACAAATGATCTTGAGGGGTAGGGTATGGATGTCACCAATAAACTAGGGATGAGGGCATGTAGAGGCTGTTCATGAAGCAGCATGTCACTGCCTTTGAAGTTGTGGGGCTTGTCCTGTGTCACATTCCCTGCTGTCAAGGGGAGGAGCTGAACTGGGAATGGACCACAGGCTCACAATTCACATGGGGACTGTGATGTGGGTTCCCATCTGGCCCTTGTGGTTTCCCAAGGTTGGGCAGGAGTGTATGCCTTTTCAGGGTCTGCCTCCTTCCCTTTGGGAGAATAAGGACCCAAGTGATTTTGGAGGTCATGGTTTAAGGGAGGACAAAACTCCTGGAGATTAGGCCTAGGAGGCCCTCATCTGAAGAAGCTAGAAATTCCACACATAGGCTCTGTTTGTTTATGTTTTTTTTTGGTGGGGAGGGGTACCCGGGATTGAACTCAGGGGCACTCAACCACTGAGCCACATCCCCAGTCTTATTTTGTATTTTATTTAGAGACAGGGTCTCATTGAGTTGCTTAGTGCCTCGCAATTGCTGAGGCTGTCTTTGAACTCGCGATCCTCCTGACTCAGCCTCTCCAGCCGCTGGGGCTGGGCTTACAGGTGTGCGCCACCACTCCTGGCTTGTTTATGTTCTTGAGAAGAAAAAGTCCTTGTTACAAAACAGTCGAGATTGGTCCTGGCCTTCTGCTTCTTGCCCTGTGAACTAAGTCCAAGAAGAACCAGTGACTGCGACGGAGACTGGGCCAGTCAAGTCAGTTGATGGCTCCAATGCCCTGCCCGAGGTCATCTGCCTGCTGACTGCTACCGGTGAGGCTGCTTGCTGGATCCTGAAGCCCGCCAGAAGGCCATAGCGCTCTGTGGTTACCCAGGACCAGGGGAAGCCCTTTGAGATTTATTTTTTGGCATAAATACCTTGTGGTTGCCCTAAAGCACATAGCAGAAGCTGGGAAGTCCTCCTCAGACAGGTTTTTGTTTTAGCAGGCAGGCCACTTCTGCAGAGCCCCTTCCAGATTGAAGCCATCTGCAGTTTTGGGCTAACACTCAACGTTGAGCATGCACAGAGCCAGTGGGATTTGGGACCTTAGGCTTTTTTTTTTTTTTTTTTTTTTTAATGATGCTGGGGATGGAACCCAGGGCCTTGTGCATGCAAGGCAAGCACTCTACCAACTGAGCTATATCCCCAGCCCAGCTGGTGGGCTTTGGACTGGATCTCAACCTGGGTACGATGCTTGCATGTCACAGAATACATTGGTTTGGACAAGTGGAACTGGCAGACCTCCTGGCTCTGGGCCACATAGAGAAGCCATATGAGAGGTGTCATTGTTGGGTAATGACCCCTACCCATGAGCCCTGCAGAGGCAGAGCCTGGGAGCAGAGCTTTGTGCTAATCCCTTACTTCACACCTTCTAGCCACACTGTGCTGGGGGAGGCATAGTGTGAGCAAGCTGGGCACAGAAACACCCGGGCTACCGATTAATGCAAAGAAGTGTCTTGGCCCCTAAGCGAGCTGATCCTGGTTAAGAGAACCTTCTGAGTCTTTGCCTTGAACTCCTCTTGGCTTCTTGCTCACTCCTGGTGTGTTGGCTGCCAGGGGCTTTCTTATTTTATTGATTGAAAAAAAGGGAAAAAAAAAAAAAAAAAGGTTCAGAGGTTAGGACTTTGTGCCAGATTCCTAGAGCTGACCCCTGCAACTGAGGAGATGCAGCCTTCTTCCTGGGACCTTCTAGAACCTTCCCCCTGTTGACTGGGGGAATGTGTCCCCTTACCTGCTGTCCCCTTCCAAGCAGGAGTAAAGGAAAGAAACACACAAGGTTTTCACACACAGGCGAGTTTTCTTTCCCTCAGCAAGTAGCGTAGAGTGCTTACTGTCTGTCAGATTTCATGAGTGATGAGACTGTTTCAGAAAAAACTTAAATTACATCATTTCCTCAGTAATGAAAGTTTTCATAACTTATAATTGTATATCACTTCAGGCTTACAGAGAAATTACCAACATAGTAACAAAAATTCCCATGATGTACTCTGCCCAGCCACTGGCTAGCAGTGGCTCCATATCTGCACATGATAGTTTTGCTGTAGTCTCCCCCCAACACTATTGTTTTGTTGTTGTTTTTTGTTTTGTTTTTTAATATTTTGAGAGTAAGCTAGAGACCTGATTCTTTTTTCTGTGGACACCACGAGGTGTCCTGTTTCCCAAAGTAGAGTGCCATCTTGAGGCACATTTATGTGATCTGCAGGTTCTATTCCAGTTGTGTCAGCTGTGATGATAATGGCCTGTCTAGCCTCTCATCCTTAATACCTAAGTTTTGGATTTGGAATTTAAATGAGGCTTAGAGCTTAAACTAGTCTGGCCAGTTCTGTCCTGGCAGTGGCAGCCCTGGCAAAGATTGAGTTGCTTGGAGGAGGACACCTGCTTATCCCCTCATTGTTTTGCTTGGAGACGGTGCTAAATAAAGACTGGTATTTTTTGGTAAGGTGGGATTTGCTTTGATTTGGTTTCTGTGGATGTCACTAGCCTTCTCACCTATGGCCTACCACAGACCTGCCCTCGGTCTGTGGGGAGTGAGGCACAAAGAGGCCTGCTGTCTGCCTGCTTGGCCTGGCCTCACCTCAGCACTCTCTGGCCCCATTCCAAGGTGTGTAGGATACTCATGGTTTTAAGTTAATGAGGCCTAAACCTGAGCCTCCTGTGGCTGCTTGATCAGCACATCTCCCCTGGAACATGTCTTTACAGATCTGTCTCCAGGAAGGTTCTGCATCCTTGCCCTTCTCATCTCCCCATGCAAGAACTGGGCAACGCAGGGCTTGCTTATTGGCACTTTGAAGATGGTGGTGGGTACCTTTCTGGTGGTGGGGAATTGTTTTTCACACTAAATCTAAATTACTTTTCCTTGGAGGAAAAGAGTAGGAACAATCCTTGACAGAAGGGCTGACAAAGGGAAGCTGGCATTTACAGAGGGGTCATGGTCATGGATTTAAGCAGTGATGGGTGCATCAGCCGCCTTGCAAGGGTTGCTCCTGGGGCAGCTGTCAGAGGAAGCTTCCTTTTGGCTCTAAGCTCCCTTGATGGGACATTGCTCACTGGGGAAGAGTCTTGTCTCAAAGTCGGGTGTGACTGGGCACACTTGTCATCCTGGCCACTTGGGAGGCTGAAGCAGTAGGATCTGCAGTTTGAACAGTCTAGGCAACCTAATGAAATCCTACCTCAAAATAAAAAATGTTTAGAAAGGATTGGACACCACGAGGTGTCCTGTTTCCCAAAGTAGAGTGCCATCTTGAGGCCCATTTATGTAATCTGCAGGTTCTATTCCAGTTGTGTCAGCTGTGATGATAACGGCCTTTCTAGTCTCTCACCCTTAATACCTAAGTTTTGGATTTGGAATTTAAATGAGGCTTAGAGCTTAAACTAGTCTGGCCAACGCAGGGCTTGCTTATTGGCACTTTGAAAATGGTGGTTTGTACCTTTCTGGTGATAGGGTTGGGCTCAGTGGTAGAGTGCTTGCCTAGCATGCGTGAGCCCCCTGCATCACATGAAATGAAAATAAACAAAATAAAGGTATAAAAAAAGAGAAGTATTAGGGGTATGGTTAGTGATTCAACCCCCAGTACTAGAGGGCCAGAGGTGAGGGGGTTGAGAAGAGCCCAGTGTAGTATGGTGGTCTGGCGTTTTTAGTGATGCCAGAAGATTTCTTGTGTCTCAGGTGGTGACCCTAAGCCTGAAAGGTGCTCTGGTCTCTGAAGATGGTCTAGTTGGGAGGGTGATGATGGGGTTGGCACAGCTGAGGCTCAGATGAAGGAACTGATGAGTGTGTGTTCTCTTTCCTGATGTAATGGGCAGGACATGCAAGCTATAGCTGGTTCACCTGGCCTGCCCCCTGAGTTTGGGGGAATCTTGAGGCCCCATAGGCAGGTGAGCTCTGAGGCCCCGTGTGTGTCTCAGCTGTGCCCAGTGGGTGCTCTGGGCAACAGAAGATAAGCACAGCCTTGGCTCCACCCAGGCCTTCAGGGCATTTGCCCCTGGCTGCTTCTGTTCAACCTGGGTCCTGCCTGGCCCTTGAGAACTGGGAAAGCTGAGACCTTGGAGATGGGATTCTTCATGAAAGCCCCCTGCATCTATCCAAAAAGGCTGCCTTGAGGTGGGGATGTGGGTATAGGGCTCCAGCACCGAATCCACACCCTTAACTGTAATTCAGAGGCTGGGTGGGACAAATATCTTACGTGTCAGTTTCTTTTCCAGTTAAAATCAAATCTAAGCTGGCCCCATGTTGCACACCTGTAATTCCAGAGGCTTGGGGGTGCTGAGGCAGGAGGATTGCGAGTTCAAAGCCAGCCTCTGCAGTGGCGAGGCACTAGGCAACTCAGTGAGACCCTGACTCTACATAAAATACAAAATAGGGTTGGGGATGCGGCTCAGTGGTCTAGTGCCCCTGAGTTCAATCCCTAGTTACCCACCCCCCCAAAAAAAATCAAATCTAGATTCCTTAATTCCTTTTCCTGATTATAAAATATTTGCAGATGCTGGAATTTCCAAGCCCCACTTGGAAGTAGCATGATTTCATGTAGTCAGAGGGTTCTATGACACACCTATGGTACAGGTTGGAATCATTGCTCATGTCTGAACAAAAGTGTGGACAAAGCTGTAGCTGTGTATGCTCCAGAGGGGACATACATGAGCCCATTTGCAATATTCCTTGTTTGAATTACATTCTTGGCATGGTGGGATGGGAACAATCCTGAGCTGAGAGTCAACTTGATCCTGAACATTTTCTGTTGAATTGCAGGAAGCTCTTTGTGGGCGGACTTGACTGGAGCACGACCCAAGGTAGGTGCTGCAGGCTGTGAGGCTCCCTGACCTCATCTCTTGCTACTGCCTGGGATTTGTTGAAGTCCTTGGACATTGTCTGGGTTTCTGGGCAGGAGACATTTGACTGGGAGCTGTCTAGGGGCAGAGATAGTGGTGTTCCCTTTGAATCTGTTAAATTGGTCTTGATCTTTTTGGTCAGAGCCACAGGAAGACTGTGGCCCACAGTTGCAAGCCACAAGAAGGTTATGGAGTCAGAACTATTCACTGTGGGGTAGAGGTCTAGGGTTTTGCTAGAATCAAGTCAGCATTTTGTTCAGAATCAAGTCAGCATTCCTGGGTTGCTGGTTGTCACTCAAATGTTGTCATGTTTGCATCCCCTTAAGCTTTGCTCTCCTGTTCCTATGAAACAGAACAGAGCTATCTGCTGTTGCTATGGTCACTTGTCCCTTTTCTAATTTATGAGGATGTAATGCATCTGTCGTGCAGAATTTCCCTTGCCCATCTCCATGTACCTCTTCTGGGCCCTCTTCCTCCCCTCAGCAGTTAGTTGCTAAGCCAGTTCATGTGTTGCTCATCCCAGACTTGTTCAGGTAAGGCCGATGAACTGGAAGGAAGCAAGTGAGTGTGCATGTGCACCCTCCAACTGTTAGATGTGTTTGCTTAATGCCCTGGTTTGTGTGTGTTTGTGTTTTTGTTCCCAATCTTTGAGCAGAGACTCTGCGCAGCTACTTTTCCCAATATGGAGAAGTTGTTGACTGTGTTATCATGAAAGATAAAACAACCAACCAGTCTCGTGGTTTTGGATTTGTCAAATTTAAAGACCCAAACTGTGTGGGGACGGTGCTGGCCAGCAGACCACACACCCTGGATGGCCGGAATGTAAGTGTCTTCTCATTCTTTCCTGCCCTGTCTTTTGTTTGCCATTCCTTCAGCTTAACTCTATGACTGAACTTTGACTGATGTTTATTTTAGAGTCTTTTAATGTGGGCTGGATTTAAAGGGGTTGGGCCTTGGTATTTGGACCAGCTGTTGGAGGCTTGGGCCAATTGGGTGGCCTGTGTGGGCCAGTGTGCCATGAAGCTGGCTGCTGTTGGAAACACCTTCTTTTCTAGAGAAAGTAGCCTATGTTCACAATGGGCTGGTTTGAACCTTCCTACAGATCGACCCGAAGCCATGCACTCCTCGGGGAATGCAGCCAGAGCGAACACGGCCAAAGGAAGGATGGGTAAGAGGCTGGGGTTGGGAGGCCTCCTTGTGAATGCTTTTTTTTTTTTAACTGGGAATTGAACCCAGGCATGCTTTGCCACTGAGCTGCACCCCTAGGCATTTTTATTTTATTTTGAGACAGGGTCTTGCAAAGTTGCTTTAGGGCCTTACTAAGTTGCTGAGACTGACCTTGAACCTGCAACCCTCCTGCCTTAGCCTCCCAAGTCACTGGGATTGCATCGTGTCCCTCAGCGCCTGGCCTCCTTGTGTGTACTTTGGGCAGATTTAAAGGGAAAATATGTTTTCCTCTGGTGGTGTTGCTCATTAAGCAGGAGAGCAGTAGAGGTCTTCTAGATGACCCTGGAGCAATTGATAATTGCCCAGTTTTAGCCTGTACTGCATTTTATCTTGTAACCAAGAAAATTCTTAATGGTCCTAAGTGATCATGGGTAAGGTGGTCAACTGAACTTAAAACCCCATCCTGTGGTGAAGGGTTTCTCATGAACTGTGGTCCCTGTTGCTCAGGTACAGTTATCATCCTTGAGTGGTGTTTAGTTGGTTTTGGGTTTTGCCAGCATACATACTGCCTTTGCCTGGCCCAGCAGTTGCATCACTAGAACTTCATGGGGCAATGCAGATGGAGAGCACTCCTGTCTTTATAGAGAGTTCTGGATAGCGCTGAGTTGACCCCTCCAGGTGCCCCTGGTCAGAGGGCTGGGTGGAGCCTGAGAATCTGCTTTTCTAGCAGTATTCTAGCTGCTATGGAGGATGAGACTTTAGACCCTTGCAACATTTTTTTTCCCCAATGTTATATTTCAAATTTTTTAAGTACAGGAAAATTGGAAGACTGGTACAGTGAATATCTAAATATCCCACTAGATTCATCAGCTGTTAAATTTTGCCAAATATTTATGTGTATTTATGCCTATGTCTGACTACATGTATCCCTCCTAACTAGTGGTGTGTCCTCCTAAAGTCAGATCCCCCACCCTCACCGTCGCCACACCTAAGGATGTCGTGTGTCTGGTCTGTACTCCTGTTTCCAGAATTGCTTCACAAATATCTCTTGTCTCCTGAAGTCCAGTCAAGGGTTATGTTCTGTCTGGTTATTAGTTAAGTCTTTTTTTTTTTTTTAACATAATACCTTTATTCTTTCTATTTATTTATTTATTTTTATGTGGTGCTGAGGATCGAACCCAGTGCCTCACACTTGCTAAGCGAGTGCTTTACCACTGAGCCCTAGTTAAGACATTTTAGTCTCTTAGCCATTTTATAAGATGTATTAGGCATAAAAAAAAATAAACTGCGTAACTTGATGACTTGACTGACCTGTGCACCCACGAAACCATCACCCATCATGGCAGTGAACTCTCATTCCCCAAAGTCTGGTCTCTTAATCCAAAGCAGTTGGGGCAACATAAAACATGATGTCCTTGGATAGGGAAAGGAAGTCGGGATTGGAAACAGAGGGGCAGGAAGAAGGAGCACATATCTTGCAGTTGCTTCTCAGCTGTCTATGATCCTCAAAGCTGCCTTCTCCTCACTCCTTCAAAATCTCTAGCTTTGCATTGCAGAGCTGTGGGAGTTTTTGAGACAAGGTCTCACTATGTCACCCAGGCTGGTCTTGAACTCCTCACCTCGAGCCACCCTCCTGCCTCTGTCTAGCGGGGACAATAAGCGTGCACCATCAAGTCTGGCTTGCAGAGCTTTTAATGGTTGTGGCTGTTGTTGTTTAGAATAGCTGAGGTGGGACGTAAGGTGTGCTGTGTTCACCCTTACCTGAAATACAGCCTTGCAGAAATGCCATGATTACAGTCTCCATATATGACCAGAGAAGTGGGTCATCTCAGCTCAGTTTTTGTGTTCTTTTTTTTTTAACCTTTATTTATTTAGTTTTACGTGGTGCTGAGGATTAAACCCGGGGCCTTGCACATGCTAGGCGAGCACTCCACCACTGAGCCCCAGTCCCAGCCCCAGTTTTTTGTGTTCTTTTGACTCTTTGGATTTTTAGAGTGTGTTTGGTCTGGCTTTCAGCTGACTCTTAGGACAGATGCAAAGATGATGTCACACCTAACTAATGGGAAGTGTTTGAAGTCCTACCACAAGCTAATCCCCTTTTCCTCCTCAACACAGCAGAAAGGACCCCGGAGCGATAACAGTAAATCAAACAAGATCTTCGTTGGTGGAATTCCTCACAACTGTGGTGAGACAGAGCTCAGGGAATACTTCAAGAAATTTGGAGTGGTAAGTTCCTTGTGCCTCAGTGTGCTGGCTGGTCCCAGCAGGTGCTTCCCATCCTTGGCCTCCTTAAAGTTGGAGGATCTGCTGCACATTCCCATGTCCCCCATCCCCACCCCACCCCACCCCCCAAAAAAAGAAAACAAGACCCAGCCTTTCTCTTTATGATCATTTGAGATCCAGCAGAATGTTCCTGTGACTTTTCCAGCAAGTGCTAAATTAGATGGACTTCACGATTGCCCTTCTGATTGTCTTGTGACCATCATGGTTTGAAGCATCAGATAATGGTAGTGAAGAGGATGGTGTTTGGCTTGGCTGTGGAGCCAGCTGTGCCCAAGAAGTCATCCTGCCCCTTGGTTGCTGGAGGGATGGCCCTAGACCAGGTCCACACTGAGGTTAGCATCTTCCCCTCCCCAAGGCCCAAGACCAGGTGCCCGTGAGGAAGCAGCGTTCAGGTACAGTGGGCTGGTCTGGTGAGGTGCTTTCCTGGGTCCTGCATCGGCAAAACAGCCCAGCAGTCTGGAAGCAAGTTCACTTATACTCCAGGCCTCTCTGGCATCACAGATGTTTTAACCCATTTCCTCCTTGATGTTTTCTCTGATGGCAAAGCTACCCCTAAGTGGTTTTTCTGGGAAAGACTGAAATCCTTGAGAATTCCTTTGGAAATTTAGATTTTGAGGAGTCCTGCAGGGAACTCAGTGCCCTGGTGGAGCAGCCTATGAGATGTTCAGTCAGCCCTGGGACTTGACACTGGGGAGGGCCTGCGGTGGGACACAGCTCTGTTTGGAGTGAGGTATATGGGCTTGGCCGGCGGATCAGCTGTTGACTGCCTGTGAGCTCTGGTTGCAGTCTTTTTATCAGGTGTTCCTAAGGGTGCTGCAGGCTGGGCCAGGGAGGAAGGAGTACTGGGCAGGGGCAGAGTACAGAGCCTTGGCCGACTGGGTGCTGCTGCCTGAATCCTAGAGCCCACAGCTGCCTGCAGTGATGAGGTCCAAGCTTACTTCACCTGACTAAGCCTCACTTCCCTCAAATATATTTAGTGGAAGGGTACCTGTGGACTCTCCTAGGTCACATCCCCTGCTAGGACATGCAGTTGGGATCATGGTCGCCTCACCTTTCTCTGCAAATATTTTGTTAGGCAGTGGGCTGAGCCTGGTGGCTGGTGTCCCTGTGCCTACCCAGGAGCCTTGGGGCCAAAGCAGTTTGTTCTGTCCACCCCATCAACGTTGGGCTCTCATACACTAGACCCTATAAAGCTTACCTTGGCCCTAAAATTTCCCAAGCTCAAGCGTGGTGTTCACAAAAGTTGGAGCTTGGGGCTCTTACTAGAAAGAGAAATAGTACCTGCACCTCACTTTGCTCTCTTCCTCTCCAGGTCACCGAGGTGGTTATGATCTATGATGCAGAAAAGCAGAGGCCTCGAGGTAACGGCTAATCTAGTTTGTCCTGACCTGTGCCCCTTCCCCCTCAGATGGCAAACTATCTCACCCCCTTAGACACAGGCTAGGTGGTGGTCGTAGGGAACATTGCTCAGTAAGGACAAATTGGAGACCTAACCGCTAAAATGTAGGCTCTCCCCTGCGCAGCTCCATTCAGCCTGTCTGTGCTTCCCAAGGTCAGACATCACACATTGTTTTTGGCTCGTTCTTGTGAAGTTTTTATGACCTGACATGAATTTTGATGTGGTTTCTGTTTTAAATGTCTCCTGGAGGAGTGTGGTTCTGCAGACTGAGCTTCTCTCTCACACCTGTGTCATCCCATCCTCACCAGTGTGGCCAGTCCCACTCACGTGCCAGCTGTACCCACCCAGCTCAGCTTGGAATCCGGGCTTCCCTCTGTCCATCCCATGCTTTTCTCCCACCCCCTCGTTTTTATCCCTTCAGCCAGAGGGGCAGGTGGGAGGAGGGGTGAGGCGCTGCCTCATGCCCTCCTGCATCCTTCCCCAAGCTTCCCACACCTGTATGTCTGCGCTGGTCTGAGTGGGTGAGGGTGCCCACTTTCATCCCCCACCCCCTTTTTTTTTTCTTTTTTTGTGGCTGCTGCTATTTGTTGCTGCCCATGTTTTTGGTTCATCAGCTGCTTTTGGACTAGCCACGTGAGCAGACCTGCCAGTTCAAGGTCTGTGCAGTGGCTCCATGTCACACGTCCCCTCACGCACCATCTGCCTGAGGTCAGGCGGAGGCAACCCCTTAGAGCCAAGCGGCTCTAGCCCGCAGCATGTGCCCGCCATGCTGGAGAATAGTTTGCCATTTGAACCTCCATCCTCCTCTTATCCATGGTTAAGGAACGTGTTGCTCATTTGGTGATTAAGCTGTTAAGTCTTAATTTAACGTAGACATATGTGCTTAGCGATGTACTTAAGTGTTTCGTAGTAAAGTACAGTAATGTTAAGTAAGCTGTTTTCCTTTTCTCTCTGTGAATTGTTTGTGATTAACGATATCTCTTTAGATTTCTCTTCTCCAGGTGCTAAATTATATCACACAGGTACAGGCCCGTCCCGCAGTCAGAGGAGGGAGCGGCTTTGCTCCAGTGGGGTGTAAACGAAGTTTCAGTGTGTTTCTGTCCCGCTGCCGCCTCTTGACAGACAGATCGTTCCTAGAAAGCCTGCTCTGGGCTCCCTACCCACGGCCCACCGCCTCTTGTACTGTACACGGACCGAGCCAGCCCTGTGGCTTCAGACACTCCTGATGTTTGAGAAAATGTCAACTTTCTAATATGTCGTTCTTCACCTATGTTGTGTTCCAAATATTGCCTCTGATCTTGTGAACCTCCAGTGCTTGGGAATCTGAGGGCTGCTCTTGGGTGCTCCTGGTCCCAATGCAGCTGTGCAGAGCTGTCCGCCTGCTCTGACTGTGCTTGTCTGATCAGGATTGGAAGTAGCTAGGGTTGCTGAGCCCAGCTGGTGGGAGGCAACAGGGGCTGACATTGAGGAAGCTTCTGGCAGGCATGGGACCCATGTTTCCTGCTTCACTCAGCCATCAGGCTTGGGAATTGTCCCTGGGTTGCCAGATTATCAGAGGGCAGGTTAGCAGGTCCTCCCAGACAGCAAGTCCCTGTCTTCTTGGCTTTGCTGAATCTTTTTAAGAACTAGTCTGCCTCCCTTCCAGTCTCCCTTCTCCCTGTTCCTTGTCTCGGTTTACTTAAAATAGTGGACATGTATGTCCCGGTATGCGAGACCGTCCCTGTGTTCCCAACACACCATCTCCTGGTGTGAAAATTCCTGCTGCTGCGCAATGGTCCCCACTTGGCCCTCCCCGTGTTCCTGACTTCTGGCCTCACACTCGCTCCAGCCTGCTGCATCCGCTCACCTCACACTCCCTTTGTTCTTGGGTTTTTTTCCTTTCCAACCTGTGCTCCCTTCTGTGTGCTTTGCCCTCATGGTTTCACTTTCTCTCCTCTCCTCTCCTGTTGTGTCCTGACCCCTGCAGGTGCGTGCGGGTGTGCATAGTCATGCTCAGATGCACGTGTGCACACATAGGGCAAATCAGAAGACTCCCGAACCTGGTTCCTTTGCTGTGGTCTTTTTCACCTCCAATTCCTGAGCTTCCGTTTCTTCCCCATTTCCCTCCTCTTCCTACCCACAGTTTTTGCTTAGAACTTCTCTACCTAGTGCTCCAGCACCACAGTCCATAAGCTTGAGAAGCCCTGTCCACAGTTGCTCCTTACCAGGGCCCCTTGCCTGCTCAAACCCTGTGTCCCTTCTCCACCAGCTCGTGCCTCTCTCCTGGTGCACAGTGCTGCCTGTATCACGCTGTCCCTCTGCCATTCGATGCTCTGTAGCAGCCCTGTGACCCTGGCGTAGATGACAGCCCCTATCAACCTGGTTCTTGGCTTTCCCTTGTCCATCTTTGTTCTTCTGAGGTCTTTGGGTAGCAGTTTGCTGCTCACTTCTCAGTGCCCAAGTACCAGGCCATCGGGAGGTAGTAGTGTTCATCAGGCCGCCTTGGAGGCCAGTGTGCTCTGCGGTCTCATTCTACTCAGACCAGACAGGAGACTCTGGTCACTCCTACCCATAGAAGAGGAGACACACTCTATTAGCTGGGTGGCTGTGCTCACCCCAGACCAACCAAACTTCGTTTATACTGCCACTTTCTTGTGTTTGGGAAATGCTAAATTGTTTTTTTTTTGTTTTTTTTTTTTTTCCTTTAAAATTTTCTTTTTTGATTACATGGTGCCTCTTGCTCTTGCTGCTGACAGCAGAATTTGACCTGCTGGAACCCGTTGTGGCCTGTATCTTTGTGTATTACCTATTTATTTACCTGTATACATATATGCATATAAACATACATATGTTACCTCTGGTAGGACTCCTTGGGCTTACCCAACAGTGTTGGATAAGCTTAGTGAGGCACTCACTGTGGTAGATTCTGTACTTTGTTTAACGCTTTAGAACGATATATGGCTGCTGTCAGCACTAGCTGCAAAGCAAATTGCAAGCCAAGGGGGAGAATCCTGGGTTTCAGAAAAGCAGAAATGCACCCATGCGCACACCCCTGACTGAGGTGGGTTCCTGGTGAGGTCTCCCCTCTCGCAGGGGCAGCTCACAGTCGTCTTCATGGACGAGAGCCAGGACAGTGGCCCAGGCCTTGGACGACAGGGGTCTGTTTGCCTCACTGGCTGAGGCTCTCTGAGATGTGCCTCTCCTCCCCAGAGTGTGCCTGACACAGAGCCCGCGTCTACTCAGCCCGCCCAGTGTCGGGTAGAGACCTCAGTCAGATGGTGCAGAGTGCAGACGTCGCTGTCTGTCCACTCTGTTGGGTCGATGGCTCCCTTGGGAGCCGTGGCCCTTGGCTGTAGCTTCTCTACACGGGGCTTAGCTGAAACCCTAGGCCGATCCCTTGGTCCCTCCCTAATACTGTTCATCATCCTGTTTTGTGTCACAACACCCTGCTACCTTGATTCACTCTTCGTCGTTGGCTAGGTTTTGGATTTATTACTTTCGAGGACGAACAATCAGTGGACCAGGCTGTCAACATGCATTTTCACGACATCATGGGCAAAAAAGTGTGTAGTTGTAGTTTTATTTTACCTTAAGACCAAACCAAGTCTTAGGCAACTGAGGGATTTCACTGGAAAGGAAAATTCCTTAGTAGAAAAGAGGATCGGACAAGTTCATCTGGGATTGCTGACTATGAAGTTGGACCTGGTTCTACCATGGAGCCTCATGCTTCCTGAGCAGGGTGGCCATCTGGCTTCGCTCCTGGAGCCCCTTCCCTGGGCGGCCTGGGTGGTACTGGGGATGGGAGCGCCCTGATGTGTTTGGGCTGGCCTCCAGTGAGATCGCAGTGTTGCCTCAGGCTTGGTTTCAGCGACCACTCCTTCAGATGTCTGCCCCAGCCCCCTTTGTGTAATGCTGACCTGTAATGTGATGAGCAAGGGCCTCTGAGATCCGAGGTTCCACTTAAAACTGAAAGAAACACGAAAACATCATGAAGGATTGGTTTTTTAAATTGGGTCACTTACTGTGAAACTCCGGGACCAGCCACATGCTCTCGATAGTACTTATTTAACCACCGTGCAGTCAAGTGACCTCTGGTTGTTTCATCTTCATACTGTGTTGCTGCCACAGCCGAGCAGGGACAGGACACAGGGCCCCCAGCATTCTATTGCACAGCCAGTCCTCATTGGGTGGTGTCAGAGTGGCCTCTCACCGTGGTTAACCAGGACCTTTAGCGCTTTCTGAGAATATCTGGTAGGAGGACTCCTGTGACATGGAGTGGGCTTCTCAGGGTTCACAAAGGCTCAGGGGCCTGCATCTTTACAGGATCGTCTTGGTGCTTGGAACGCCTACTCCTTGTGATGCCAGGCCTCCTGGCCTGTGGTTCTGATGTGGCCTTTCATGCTGCATAACTCCTACTCTCTCAGATTCTGTCCCCAGGTGAGACCACAGTCACCTCTGGGGGTTTCTGCCCTGCCTGCTCTGAAGTCTCCCTTCCAGAGCCTTGGTTAGCAGCAGAGGAGTGAGTGGTTGTTTTTGTGTTCCCAGTGGCTTAGCTTTGGTTGCAGACTTCATGGATTCCATTTGGACCTAACTAAAGAAGGAGACAAACCTTGTTCTGACATTTCTTGCAGCTTTTAGTTTAAAATTGGCATGCAGATTGCAAGGGGCATGACTGCTGTGAAAAGTTTTAAAGGATTCTGCGTGCAGTGTATTAAGGTCCTGTGACATTGAGAATTTGGAGAAAGTATGGCCTTGATATGTAGGGCAGGAAGGGCAGCTCAGTACATGTCCCTGTTCTGTCCTCAGGCACCTCCCCTGGGTTCCCCCCAGCCCTGTATGACTTGGCTGCGGTGACCTTGGTGGTACTCATTTTACAAGCTAGATGGATGCACAGGAGTCCAGGTTGCCGTCTCTGACCTTCACTGGTCACCATTGAACCCTTGGTGGGGCTTTCCATTTGTAAAGGGTTTGGGATGCACAAGGTAATTAAAGCCCAAGTGCCAGGTGACAGCATCCCTTGTTCTGATAGGAAAGGGTAAAGGAGTTTTTTGAATGACAAGGACTGCTTTGCTCTGTAGCAGGAATCAAATTCCCATAAGGAGCGCTTGTGAAGACTCATTAACTTGAGTCTTTTGAAGCAGCCGGGTGGCCCTGTCATCGCCTTGCCTTGAGCTAACAGGATCTGTTCCCATCACACAGAGCGTCCTTGGGGCGGTGGGCAGGTGGGGGGACTTTGTGCCTCTGCTGCGCTTCCTGTTTGTTATCTCTGAAGGAATTTTGAAGGCATAATGCTTATCCCTCCAGACTGAAACCCTCAAGGTGGACTCATTGTTTCTTCATTATTATTAAAATTTATCATAAAAATAAGAAAGATTTGGGATCCTGAGAGCTGAGGCAGCCCTGGAATCCAGGGGGGGGGGAGGTGTTTTTGCTATTGTCGGTCTGCCCATATTTTAAAAGATGCATGAAGCAGGTCAGCCCCTGTGCTCAGAAAAACTAGGTCACGCACAGTTAGCTCATGCTGTTCTAGCCCCTTGTCCTTGTTTCAGAGGCTGTGGCTCCAGCCAGTTCTGGGGAGAGGTCTGGGTTGCTGCCTAACACAGTATGAAGATTGCTTACTGATTCAAATGTCCATTTTATTGCATGTTTGTTTACTTTTTTTGTTAGATGTAATGTAAGATTCTCTTATCACATCCATTCCCTCTGACATTCCTTTGAGTTAATTGAGATTCTTTAAGCATTAGCCTGGGGAAGGTAAGTCTTTATCTTCCATTAGACATTTTAAATAAAAATTTAAGTCAAAACCAATTGTGTTTCTCAGGTATGCGCTAAAGTTGCAATGGGGTGGGCTCTAAGAGGCCCTCGTGGCCAGTTGGGCCCATGACAGGGCTGGGCATGTGCTGGTCCCTTATTGTCCTGTCGAGGGAGGCGCTACTGTCTTAGCTGGAGTGAGATACCTCTGCGTACACAGATCTCCTGAGGGTTCCTGGCTCCTTCTGCTGTTCATAGCGGGTGGGGCACAGGCTGTCTTTACAGTTGTATCTGTTGTACCTGAGAAACATTTTTTTAAACAAAAAAAAAAAATTAAAAAGGAAAAAAAATTAAGAAAAAAAGTACTGGCCTAAATAAGGTTTATAGTTAAGTACTTAGTCTTAAGTCGTAAGATGCTAAGTGTAGTTGTAAGTTACTGAGGGTGTGTCTGAAGGGAAGGGGCGCTGGGCTGTAGCTTCTCCCTAAACCACAGCTTGGTTTGTTTAGGTGGAAGTTAAACGGGCCGAGCCTCGGGACAGCAAAAGCCAAGCGCCCGGACAGCCAGGTGCCAGCCAGTGGGGGAGCCGTGTCGTGCCCAATGCCGCGAACGGCTGGGCAGGCCAGCCCCCGCCCACGTGGCAACAAGGATACGGCCCACAAGGTAAGGCTCTGAGGGCCCTGGAGGGACCAGACCTGGGCTCAAGGATCAACTGGCTACTGTTATGTTGCTTGGAGGGCTATGGGTCCCCTGGGCCTTGGCTTCAGGCAACTACCTGATGGGCAGAGCTGTGGGACGAGAGCAGCATTGCTCTCTGGGCACTGGCAGGCCTTGCCAAAGTGGGAGAGCTCCCCCTGCCCCACTGTGTCAGTGCCACATGTTCTGAGCAGCTGTTTCAGAAGCCCTGCCGAGGTGCAGGCATAGGTATAGTCACCGTCCAGAGGGCACAAAAGGCTCTGCCATCTTCCTAACCCTTGGTGGTGTGGTTGAGTGTGGCTTAGGTGCTGCTTGCAGTTTGGGCAAGTGGGTCTACCTTCCTTGGAGTATCTGTTTTGAGATTCCTTGTCTTGTTGCCCATGTGCAAGGGTGTAGGAAGGGCTGTGGTGGATCTGAGTGGGCAGTCAGAGGGTCAGAAGTGGCCTACTTGGTGTGAAGAGTTCTCTGCTGCCTGCAATATGGCAGTTGGGCAGCACTTCCAGGGGCACCATGAAAACCTGCCAGACTTGGGTCTGTGCATTTGCTCTCACCTCCGCCAAGCTGTGTGCCCTCCACTTCACGGCCCACCAGTAGCTGGTGCTGCCGATAGTTTACAGGAGGTGTTGAGCAAGTGAGCTTACACATGCCTGCCTGGGGGACTTTGTTCTCTGAGCCATGGTATCAGGATTCTCTGTGGTCTCCTCCACACCTTGAGCCTGAGGGTTTCTTTGAGAATTCTCCCTGTTGGAAATGAGATGGAATAGGCACACCTTTCTTTTTCTTTCTTTCTTTTCTCTTTGTGTGTGTGTGTGAGTGTGTGAGAGAGGGAGAGAGAGAGAGGGAGAGAGAGAGACACATGTGTGGTACTGGGGATGGAACCCAGGCCTTGGGTGTGCTCTACCACTGAGCCCCAGCCTCAGCCAGGGAAACCATTTTTTTTATGCCCAGGCATGCAGACTGCCATGGGGACTGTCCCTGTGTTCCTCAAGGCTCAGAGGCCATGGAGGCATGTACCCAGTCAGGAGACTACCACCAGGTGGTAGGGTGCCAGTGGAGAGGCACTTGGGAGGCATACTGATCAGGGGGCTGTGTTGAAGACCCAGGAGGAAGGCTTCACCTGGTGCCACCCATGTCCCTGGGCTCTGAGCCTCAGGTGGGGCCGGGGGTCAGCCCCAGTTGGTGGCGCTTACTCGTGGCAACTACTTGGCATCAAAATACTGGGAGGACTCGGCACCAACCCTTCTCTTCTGTTTTCTCATCTAGGAATGTGGGTGCCAGCAGGACAGGCAATTGGTGAGTCCTTGTTTTTAGAGAAAGGGAAAGAGCAGAATCCGAAATCCTAGGCCGACTCTCAGAGCTCACGTCTGGTCTTGTCTATGGCCGGTAAAGCCGTTGTCAGTGTCTCTCTGGCCCTTGAGATCATTTCTTTTACTTCCTCTCCTGGTGAGGAAGAAGGGGAGGGGCCCGATACAGGCCCTGGCAGGCCTGGGTCTGGGCTGTGGCCAGGGGTTTGTGTCTGACACTCTTTGCCCTTCACCCTGCGTTGTGTGTTCCAGGTGGCTACGGACCACCCCCTGCGGGAAGAGGAGCCCCCCCACCGCCCCCGCCGTTCACCTCCTACATCGTGTCCACCCCTCCTGGCGGCTTCCCCCCTCCTCAGGGCTTCCCACAAGGTTATGGTGCCCCACCACAGTTCAGTAAGTTTTGGCTGGGCCCCCTCGGGAGGGCTCCTCTCCCATCAGAGCTGGCGCTGGAGCTGACTAGGCCTGTGCTTCATGTGGACATTGGCCATGACACTTGCCCCCGTCCCTGTTTGGGTGTGAAGCACAGAGACTGCACAGGTGGCTTCTAATTGCCTTGAACCCACTCCTGGCACTGACGGAGCTCAGGTTCATGCAGAAACTGAGCCTTGCACCTTGCACCCTTGCTCTCATTCTTCATTTCTCAGGAGGTGAGGTGTCTGGACTTCTTCCATTCTTCTTTATTTAGAAGTGAGGGAAGCTGGGCACAGTGACACACTCCTGTAATCCCAGCAACTCAGGAAGCTGAAGCAAGAGGATTGTGAGTTCAAAGCTAGCCTCAGCAATTTATCCAGACTGTGCCTTAAAAAAATTTTTAAAAAGGCTGGGCTGTGGCTGAGTGGTAAAGCATCCCTGGGTTCATACACCTGTTTTTTTTTTTAAAAAAAAAACAGTTTTTTTTTTAAAAAAAAAAACAGTAGTGAGGTGTATTTGAGGTATAAAACTTTAGTTCGTTCTTTTTTTTTTTTTTTTTAATTTTTTTTTTGTTTGTTTGTTTTAGGTGGACACAATATATTTATTTATTTTTATGTGGTGCTGAGGATCGAACCCAGTGCCTCTCGCATGACAGGCCAGCGCGCTACCACTTGAGCCACATCTCCATCCCCAAACTTTAGTTCTTAATTGATTTTCCATATACTTGGCTTTTTAAATCAAAGATGTAGGTGTAAAATCAGTTACCATGCCTAGAATGTTAGAGCACTTTGCTCATGTTCTCTAGGTATGGGGACTTGGCACCTTCCAAAGAAGGGCACTCAGGCCCCCTAGACAACTGGATTTTCTAGCACCTATTTCTCAGATTACGTCACCTTATCTGACCCTGTCATCCAGCATGAATGTTCTATAATCTGATTTTTGTGTTGTCCTTTATACGGTGTGTTACATACTTGGGATATATTACAGTTTGGACCAGTCACATCTTGTGGGGAATCAGAGGCCACATGTGGCCAGGTCCCAGGTTGGATAGTTCAATGTTACAGTTTAGCCGTTGGAAAAAGATTTGTCAATTCTTGATATAGAGTATTCTAACTTATTTTTAATGACAGGAATTGGGTAGTCTAAACTGGGCATGGTAGCACATTCCTGTAATCCCAGTGGCTTGGGAAGCTCAGGCAGGAGGATCTCAAGTTCAAGGCCAGTCTCAGCAAATTAGCGAGACCCTGCACAACTTAGTGAGGGTTTGTCTCAACATAAAAAGGGCTGGGGATATAGCTCAGTTGGTAGAGTTCTTGCCTTGTATGCACAAGGCCCTGGGTTCAATCCTCAGCACCACAAAAAAAAAAAAAAAAAAAGAAAAGAAGGAAAAAAAGGCTAGGGCTGTGGCTCAGTGGTTGAACACCTCTGCGTTCAATTCCTGGTACCAAGAAATTAAAAAAAGGAAGTATTGGGTGGTCTGAAGCCCAGCATCAGGGTGTGGGATGGTAGTCCTCTCTAGTACCCTTCCCCCTTTTTTTCTTGGTGCTCTGAGGGTTGGACCTAGGCCCTTGTCCATGTGAGGCAGGCACTATACCTACCACTGAGCCACATTTCCACCCCTTTGCTCTGTTCTGAAAACTTGCCATTGGCCCCTACCTTTGAGACAGCTCAGATGACTTACCTTCCCAAAGCTGTGTCCAGCTGTTTCTAAAGAAAGATCTGCAGTGGAATTCCTCGCTGCTTGGATTCCTGCCTAGTACTCTGTCCTGTGGTCACACCATTATCGCCTCGACAGTCATTGTTTCCTTAGGGTCATGTCCCAGGAGCAAGGATCCATAGTCCCTTCTGTAGGTTTTAGATGGAAATCCCATCTTGCAGCTCCTGTGGGGCTGGTCTGTGGGTCTCCATCCAGCTGACCCTGTGGCCTTACCCCGTGTCTTGTGCCTTGCTCTTCTCTGTCTGCAGGTTTTGGCTATGGGCCTCCACCTCCACCGCCGGATCAGTTTGCCCCTCCTGGGGTCCCTCCTCCTCCTGCCACTCCTGGGGCAGCTCCACTGGCCTTCCCACCACCTCCATCTCAGGCCGCCCCAGACATGAGCAAACCCCCAGCAGCCCAGCCAGACTTCCCCTACAGTCAGTATGGTGAGTGGTCTGCGCGTCCCCCCAGTCCTGTGCTGGTCTTCTTCCCTCCACGTGTTTGCCACCAGCACACCCTGGAGGAAGCAGCAGCAGGGCAGATACCAGTGTGCAGAGGCTGCTGGAAAACTGGTGGCAGCAACGGGGGCCTAGCGGAACTTAGGGGGGAACCTGTCAAGAAAGGTGGTGGTCCCACAGCAGGTGGCCAGAGCCTGTACTTTTGGCAACCAGAGGCTGTGACCGGGTCAGGGGGAGGTGCCTCCTGGGGTCACAGAAAGATGGTGTGGATGTTGTGATCATTGTCCGGGCTTGATGCTCTCCTGTGTCCTCGCTAGAGGTCATTAGTCAGGGCTATCCAGGCCCTCTGCCCCATGATTATTTGTTTCTGCTGTGTCATTAGGTACCCTGCAGGCCAGACCCCATTCCAGGAGCAGGCTTGAGTCAGTAGCAAGCCCTGGCTTAGACAGAGGCATTGTGGTGGACTCCACGGCTTGTCACTCCTGTGGGTGGCTTCAGGGGAGGACACTGGGTCAAGACAGGACTTGGTCTGTGCTTTTCTCACTCTCACCCTGCATGAGCTCAGTGCCAAGACCAGCCTTGTTTGGTACCGTGACCCCCGTGGAGGGAGCTCTGCTCATCATTGGCTCCTCAAGGGACATTTGCACAGTTGGATCCCAAGAATGTGGGCCTCCCTGTCCCAAGGTGTCTAAGCTCATGTCCTGAGGAAGGCAGGCGCTGGCTTCCAGGGCACCTGAAAAGGTGCTCTCTCAGCCTGGACTGAGCCAGAGCCGTCTGAGGCACTGGCCCATCTTGAATGACTCTGGAGGGCCCAGGCCCTGGCTGCATTCACCCCCCCACCCCCGCCAGCGCTGGTTCTTGGCCCACCACAAGGCCCTGATGTGTCAAAGCTGCAGGGGGAGCACGAAGCGCCCGCGGGGTGTGCAAGTGTGCGTGTCTGCCGCTCGCTCCTTGCCTGGCCGCAGTGGGTTAGTCACCCTGGTCTCGTCTCTCGCCAGGCCTGGGTACCTATTCTCGAGACCCGTCGGGCTTCGGGCCCATTCTTTGTTTACACTCTTATGGTCAGGCTGAGCAGTGATGTGGCCTAGGTAGGTGCCGCCTCTTTCTACACGGTCCTCCCACCTGCCTGCACCTGGGAAGCAGACATGGCTTCCTTTGCCATCCTGGGCGGGGGTGGATACTTGGAGGTGCCCTCTGGGACGGTCCCCTTGCCAGTTTGAGGATCTCAACTGACCACAGCTGGCCCCAGGAGCACCCAGAGCCAGAGGGCCCACCTGTGTCCATGTGCACCCCTGTTTGGGAACCCAGAGGGCCTGGATGGGTCTTCAAAGTTTGTGGTGGGGTGGGCAGGCGCAGGGCCCATCTCTGTCCACTTGAGGATGGTGTGTATCCCTTTTCCCAGAAGAACCTCCTACACCCCTGAGGCCAGTAGTGTAGGTGTGTCTGGCTTTTGTTGAGGCTTAAACACTGCCAAGTTAGTCTGTAGCTTGGAGCTCCTGGCCGCCCTGAAGGGAGGACTGTGTGGGCGTGGGATGTGGGGACAGCCTCACAGGTGTGGTGAGGGTTACCATGAGGGAGGTGAGGGCTATGCTCTGCACCATAGGCCTATCCTGTGTAAGCAAATTGTAGTAGTCCTGGTCTCCAGGTGTGTCCCAAACCATGCGGAGACCATGTGCAGCATGTGTAAGCAAATTGTAGTAGTCCTGGGTCTCCAGGTGTGTCCCAAACCAGTTAGACACACACCTGCCCCCTGACTTCCAGGTATGTGGGGATGGGGCCAAGGTAGAAATGGGGCGGATCACCAGACCCACAAAGGATCTGAAAGCTGCTTTTCTCTCTTGTGTGGGTCCTGCTCACGTGGTCTTGAAAGATAAAAATTCCCAGGTTTTGGGTCCCTGCCGGGTTGGCCCCACCTGGGTCAAGTCCCCACTGGTGCCCCCACCCTGTGGGACCCGTGGGCTCCAAGGCCCAGACATCATCACCCTTCCTCAGAAAATGGAGCAGAGTTGCTCAGAAGCAGAGCAAGCAGGCTGGGCTGTGCATCTTGAGCTGACACCCTCTCTCCCCCAGCAGGTTATGGGCAGGACTTGAGCGGCTTTGGACAGGGCTTCTCCGACCCCAGCCAGCAGCCCCCTTCCTATGGGGGCCCCTCAGTGCCAGGGTCAGGGGGCCCCCCCGCCGGTGGCAGTGGCTTTGGACGAGGTCAGAACCACAACGTGCAAGGATTCCACCCCTACCGACGCTAACCGCAGCGCCACACAACCCGCCCCGGCCGAGACCAGGATTGGAGACTCGTGGACTGTGACAATCACAACCTGGGGGGGAGGGGGGAGGGCAGAGGCTTCGGAGCTGGCTGTGGGTGACTGGACTGAAGTTTTTAAATATATTTCTTTCTCTGACCCATCAGCACAATAAAAAAAAAGTCACTGGTTCAACAACAGGGTTTAAAAAAATGTCTTCAGCTTTAATTAAAAACTTCAGGTTTCTTTTTCTTCTTCATTTTTTTTTTTTTTTTCCGAAATTATTTTCCTGAGCCTTTTGTTTTACCGTATATTGTAAACTTTTATGTTAAAGAAAAAATATACATTTACAAATTGTGAGATTTTTAAGAGAAAATTTTCTACGATGTATACTGGCTTATTTTTTAATTTAAAAACAGGGTTCGGTCGGCACTGGTGGGAGGGGGGGTGTTTTTAGGTCCCCTCGATCCTGGCTTGGGGGTTGGGACTTGTTGGTCCAGAAACTCTGGGAGCTAAAGAAATCTACTGAGTGTGTTTTGTTTTTTGTTTACTCCTTGCTTTTGTCGGCCGGCCTGCCTGGTAGCATCTGCAGTGCGCTGTGGAGGTGGGTCACTCTTGGCTGGCCGCGTGGCAGCACTGACTTCCGCAGCCTGGACCCTGTGCAGCAGGCACGGTCTTGCTGGAAGCCCACCTCCTTGGCACATGGCTTTAGGGCGTTTCCCACTGACCAGTTTGACCCTGGTTTGAATAAAGAGAAGTGCGTTTGGATTAGAAACCCAGGTCGTGTGCTTTCTTTCTCCATCGCCTGCGCCTCCTTCCCCGTCTGGGAAAGATCTGGAGCCCAGACGAGCCCTTGGCCTGGGCCCCAGCTTCCGGCCTCCTTGTGGACTTAGGGGCAGAGAGACCTGACACAGGGATCTATTATTCTGGTGTGGGCCTTGGGCCCTGTGGGTTCTGGCAGATGTGACTACAGATGTCCCTGGGCTGTGGGTTGTGAGGCACACACCAGGAGCCTGGGGCTGCAGTTAGGTCAGGAGCCATCTCCCTGCCTTGAGTTTTGTTGTATCCTGTCTCTGGCCATGGCAATTGACGTCCATTAGTTCTGGCTAAGGATGAGATTGCCTTTGGGGGCCTATGTAACAAGGCTAGCTGGGATATGATGGCCCATGCCTGTCATCCCAGTGACTCAGGAGACTGAAGCAGGAGGGTCGGAAGTTCAGAGCCAGCCTTGTCTCAGTAAAACAAAGGGCTGGGGATGTGGCTCAGTTGTACAGTGTCCCTGTGTTCAATCCCCGGTATCAGTGGGGAAAAAAATCCAAATACGCTGGGTACCGACAAAAATGACTGAGACTGCCAGAAGCCCTCATCCCCAACTCGGTTTTTGCGGGCAGGGAAAGCTCAGCTTGCCTTGGAGTAACCCTGAGCCCTCTAGGGCAGGTGCCCACTGAGCCAGCCCCTACATGAACCTGGGGACCAGCTCCTGAATGGCCCTCCGTCTACACCCCTTGTAATCACATGTGCGAGCGCCTTCCATTGAATTCCTGCAAAATTCAAGTCCCTTAGCAAGGAAATGATATGCAGAAAGTCAAGAGGTTTCAGGCAGGGTCATGGCTCAGTGGCAAAGCGCACGCAAGCCTAAGGCATTGGGTTCAATCCTCAGCACCACATAGAAATATAGGCATTCTGTCCATCTACAACTGCAAAAAAAAAAGTCAACAGGTTTCTACCCAGCCAAAAGAGCTCCACGGTGGCACAAAAAAAAAAAAAAAAAACCTGACAGTGCAGCTTCTGCTGTCCCCAGACAGGCCCTGTGCTCCCATGTAGTTGCATCCCCTGCCCCCACGGGCAGAGCTGCAGGCTCACCCAGCCAGGGCTCTGGAGGCTTGTGTAGGCGGAGAACCCAGCCACAGGCCTGGAGCCGGCACCTTCCTCCACACGCGTGATGCTGTGGCTGAAGTTGGAGACTGCTGGACTCCCGGCTCCTTGCTTTGACTGTTGTAGGCAGTGCCTTCTGTCAAGCCCAACCTGTATCCTGACCTTTGCTGGGCTGCTGGCCACAAAAAACAGTACCAAGTGGACAGAGGGTCCAGCTTGCCCCAAGCTCAGGTGAAGGCAGGGAAACAGGCACCATGGAGTCAGATGGGGGAGACCAGCCTTTCATTTGAGCTATAGCCAGTCTGTTCCGACTGCCTGCCTCCGGCATTGTCATGGATGGATTCACACCTGCCATTTCCCTTGGCCTTTTGTTTTCCTCAGTTAATGCTTCCTCTCACATGGTTTTGACTGAGTGGATGCTCAGGGCTTACCACTGAGGTATATAGGTAGAGACATACACATACACATACGTGCTGTCATCCCAGCAACTTGGGAGGCTGATGCAGAAGGATCACAAGTTCAAGACAAGCCTGGGCAACTCAGCAAGACCCTGTCTCAAAAGTTTAAAAAATTTAGGGGATGTGTCTCACAGAGTGTCGTTGGATCAAGCCCCAGTACCCCCCGCACCTGCCCCATCCGTAAAATGCACACATAACACTTACCATCTTTGTGTGTGTGTGTGGTGCTAGAGATCAGACAGAGCCTCATGCTACACTTCCAGCCCATCACCTTAACTATGTTGGGGGCACAGTTCTGTTGCATTGACCACATTCCTGTCATTGTACACCTGTCACCACCACACCCCAGAATTTCTCATCTTCTCAAACTGAAACCTTCTTCATGAACACCAACTTCCCAGCACCTCCCCAGCCCTGTACCCACGGATCCACCTCCCATCTCAGAACTCTCCTGTCCTGGAGCCTGTGTCCTTTAGTCTCTGGTTCTCACAGAGCACAAGGTTCTCGAGGTCCATCCACGCTGCAGCGTGTCACCTCGCTTCTGCTCCTGGCCAAGTGACCCTCTAGGTGAGCATATCCCATGCTGTGTGTCCATCCATCCACTTACCGCTTACAGGAGCTTGGGTCTTTCCCACATCCAGGCTGTGGTGTGGTGTGCTGCTGTGAACAAGGGCGTATAAGTACCTGTTCAAATCTGATACTTCTGGGAATATACCCAGCCTCCAAAGGCACATTAACAAGCCAGGTCTGGTGGCCATACCTGTAATCTCAGCAACCCGGCAGGCTGAGGAAGGAGAATCACATTCAAGGCCAGGCTTATTTTTGCAAGACCCTGTTTCAAAAAGTAAAAAGAACTGGAGATGTAGCCCAGTGGTTAAGTACCCCTGGGTTCAACCCCAAGTACCAAAATAACATAACACATACATACAAGGGGCTGGCGATGTGGCTAATGGTCAGAGCACCTTTGGGTTCAATCCCAGTACCAGAAAATTCACAATAGCAATTCCAGTGAAAGCCAGGGATGGTGGTACACACCTGTAATCCCAGGTGTTTGGGGGGGCTGAGGCAGGAGGATTGGGAGTTCGAAGCCAGCCTCAGCAGTTTAAGGAGGCCTTAAGCAACCCCGCGAGACTCTGTCTCTAGATAAAATATTTTAAAAGTGGCTAGGGGTATGGCTCAATGGTTAAGCACACCTGGGTTTAACCCCCGGTTTAAAAAAAAAAAAAAAAATCCAGCAAGACAGAAACATTGTTCCTGCTTATCTCTATTCTCTCCTCCCCTTATTTTGTGCCTTTCTCCTTCAATCCCCTCTTCCTTTCTTCAGTCTCCAATTCCTGGGCCTCAAGCCTGGACCTCCCCAGTAGTGGGGACAACAGGCATCCAAGAACGTGTTAATTAAAGCCTGAGTGGTTTCTTTCAGGGAGGCCAGAGCCAATCTCTTCTTCTCTCAGCTGACAGGTACAATGTCCATCCATGCCTGTGCCTCCTGCCACCGGGCCCTGAACCTCTAAATCACACCTGTTCACAAACAGTAGGCGCTGCATTCTTTTGAGATGGATTCTTTGGCGTTGATTACAGAGCACGCACCTGAGGTTCAAACAAGACCAGCGTTTTGGAAAGGGCAACTCGGCCCAAGGCGGCGGCCCCTTTGATACCCAAAGCCGGTGTTCTGCCCTCCGGACGGCAGGGGGCGGCCTCTGCCGCGGGAAGGCGGAAATGCGCGCACGGCCAAGGGGCGGGGTCCGAGGAGGCCTCGCGATAACTTCGCGGGCGCGGGGCGGGGAGGTCTTTTCCGCAAAGCCGGCAAGATGGTGAGTGCTGCTCGTCCCGGCCCCTGTGGGTCCCTATCCAACTCCATCCGATCTCCGGCCGTCCCGCGGGGGCCGGGGTCTTGCCCCGCGCTGTGACGGCCTGCTCCAAGCCTCCGGGGCTGCGGGTGGGGGCGCGGGACGGTCCCGGTGTGTGAGGACCACTCGGGGCGCGGAAGGCCCCGGGCCCGCATTTCTCGGCTGAGCCCCGGTGACCCGGGACAAACGTGTGCCCGCGGGCTTCCGTACTGGGGCCGGACGCCCTGTGAGCGCGTTCGTGGGGCCGCGGGGTGGGCCTCGAGCCCCTACTCAACCCCGTCCGCGCCCGCGCAGGCGGAAGTGGAGCAGAAGAAGAAGCGGACCTTCCGCAAGTTCACCTACCGCGGCGTGGACCTCGACCAGCTGCTGGACATGTCCTAGTAAGGAGCCGGCGGGAGACGCCTTTGATGTAGAGGGCCCGGGTGGGCGAGGGCCGTGGCTGCGTGCCCAGGGCTCCGATGGCCCGGTGTTCCCGGCGACGCCGCCTTCCGCCGCCCGGTGTCCCCTAGACCGCCTGGTGCAGTGGACCCTGAACTAGAGGGATTCGCCCGCAGGGAAGGGCGGGCTGCTCCGGGGCCTGGCCTGGGTATGTCCCTGCTGTCCTTGCGCTGTAGGGGCCAGAGGAGGGGCGTGCAGCCCCGGGCAGCTGTGTGGCGGGGCAGGCCACCCACCCGCCGCCTTGTCCCCCGCAGCGAGCAGCTGATGCAGCTGTACAGCGCACGCCAGCGGCGGCGGCTGAACCGCGGCCTGCGGCGGAAGCAGCACTCGCTGCTGAAGCGCCTGCGCAAGGCCAAAAAGGAGGCGCCCCCGATGGAGAAGCCAGAGGTGGTGAAGACACACCTGCGGGACATGATAATTCTGCCTGAAATGGTGGGCAGCATGGTTGGCGTCTACAACGGCAAGACCTTCAACCAGGTGGAGATCAAGGTGTGTATGGTGTGCCCTGGGTGTGGGTGCGCGGATACGCTGCTGTCTGCCCACACACCCTGACCCCTGCTCTTGACCTCCACAGCCCGAGATGATCGGCCACTACCTGGGCGAGTTCTCCATCACCTACAAGCCCGTGAAGCACGGCCGGCCTGGCATTGGGGCCACCCATTCGTCCCGCTTCATCCCCCTCAAGTAGCCTGCCTGGGCAATAAAGGCACACCCAGCTCCTGTGCGAGTGCCGCTCATCCTTGAAGTGCCAGGGGGTTGGGGAGGCTCCGTCTTCCATGGATTCTTCCCAGAAGGGCCCTGAGCTGGTGCAGATTTGTGATGTGCTTCGGGTTGGATATAAAGGACTGGGTGGGTATGGGCAGCGTGGGCCCCTGGTTTCCTTCAGTGGCTCCTGAGGATGGTAGCCCTGCTCACTGCACCTGGGCCATCACCTCAGGGCCAAGGAGGGTAGGAGTGCTGATTGGCAGCTGTCGCAGCCAGACTCAGGCCCTCCACTTGGGGGGTGGCTCTGCAGGTGGAGAACGTGAGCAGCAGGACCTCATACCCTCCTAATCTCCTAAATTTGCCCAGAGTCCTCAGATGGCTCTTGGTGGGTGCTCATCGTGCTATTGTCTGCCCCTCTGATGGCCCAGGTCAGACTAGCATCACGCCATCCCTTGTCAGACCCCAGCCATGCTCCAAAAAATGCATTGTAGGACTCTTGGGGAGGAGGGGGGACAGGCAGGGCTGTGGCGGGCCTCTAAGCTGGGCTGATGGGTGGTATGCGAGTGAAGGATGCTCAGACCTTACCCTACGCAAGCAGGAGGTAAGAAAGTGGGTAGGAGGATATAGTGGCCTTGATTCCTCGAAAGTGTCCTGCAGAACAGTCCAGGTGGCCAGTGAGCCAGGCCTACGACTTGGGCAGACTCCAAAGGGCAGTGGGTAGGAGGCCAGAACCATCCAGGTGGCGAGGGCCGCTCAGCCAGCTACACCTCCGCCTCATCCGCCTTTCCTGCTGCTGTTAGCAGGGCAGTGTGGGTCACGGCTTCACTCTGGCAGCCTGAGGTGGATAAGGCTTCAAGACGCAGCCCTGGGTGGCCTCTGGTTTCCACTGGCTTCTAGTGGGCCAGGTCCCTGGAAAGGTGGTGGCCCCAGAGGGTGGTACTGAGGAAGGATGGCCTGGAGGGAGCCGGAGCCCACAGGTGATCAGCTGAGGGGGTTGTGGTTGGCAGCCTCCTAGACAGACTGAACATTTGAAAATGCTCTTGCACTCCCCTCACTGGGCTTCATGGGGACCCAGAGCACAGTCCCACCTGCCAGCACACTGGCCACAAGCAAGGAAGGCCTTGCTGAAGTGGAAACTGTCATGTGACCCAGCTTCACTCACCTACTGGGGGCTCCCTAAGAAAAGGGATGTGTGGAGGGCTTTTTAAATTATTATTTCAGTATCTTTTAAGAGGTTTAGTTTTTTGGTACTGGGATTGAACCCAGGGGTGCTTTATCACTGCACCAGTCTTTTTTTTTTTCAAGAGAATTTTTTTAATGTTTTTCAGTTTTCAGCAGACACAACATATTTTTATGTGGTGCTGCCCGTGCATGCTTGAGCCACATCCCCAGCCCTGCACCAGTCTTTTGAGACAGGGTCTCATCTTGGGCTTGTGATACTCCTGCCTAAGCCTCCTAAATTTCTGGGACTACAGGCTACCACACCTAGCACTGATTTTTTTAAATGAAATGGCTAAAATGTTAGAAATAACCCATTTTTTAAAAACATTTTTTAGTTGGAGTTGGACACATTATCTTTATTTCATTCTTATGTGGTGCTGAGGATTGAAACCAGGGCCCCCCACGTGCTAGGTGAGCACTCTGCCACTGAGCCCAGCCCCCATTTTCACACCAGAGTGGTAGGGTAGGTAGGAGATCCTGCTCCAGCACATTTTGTGGCAGCTGGTTGGTGGTGTGTGCTTCTGGGGATTCAGCCCAGGTCCTGTACCTGCTGGGCAAATGTCCTACCACTCAGCCACTCTCCTAGAAGGCTTTTTGGGGGCCAGAGCTTCTGAGCCACCAGGCTGCAGGAACAAAGGTGTCTGCCACGTGGACGGGCTGCTTGTGTATTTTGCCCCTAAAGGGGGGGGGCAGCAAGGTGGCAACAGGTCCAGGGGCTCCCTGTGGAGTCGGTGGGCCATGGGCACAGCTGCACTTCACTGCACCAGGAGACAGGGATGGTGAGGAGTTGATGAAAGGGAGCGGACAAACAACAGACGAGTGAAGGTGCAAGTCTCACGTAGCTACAATTAGATAAGAATGTATCTTGGCTTATGCATAAGCAAACATTTTTACTTTAAGTTCGTGTTTTGCTTTGAGCTGTTTCTGCTTAGTTAGCTTTTAATAATAGAAATGTCCCAGGCTATTGGCCTACACCTTGGCTATTCTTCCTTGACTTACTAAAAGTGGCGCCACAGTTATGGCAAGTGGTTAGCTTGAAAAGAGAGGCTTCTAATTTTAATCAAGAGTAAGAGCATCAAACCATTGTGCACAGGTACAAGAAAAAGTTGCCCAGTACCAAGCACTAATCTCTCTTCTTTAATTTTTTCTTCTCTAGATTTCAATTTCTCAAAAACTTCCCTGTTTTTTCAACAGGGGGTTTCTCATTAAACATTAACAATTTACGTTCCAGCTGAATCCTTGCATTTAGAGCAAACAGATTTATTCTTTAGAAGTAGTTGCGTCAATTGGAAATTTCATGTTTTTTCCTTCATACGTAATGGTTATATGACAAGTCGCAACTATACTTATTAGCAGGAATACAAAAAACAAACCAGCCCGTTCCCAGAAACATTGCGCTCCTCCAGAGGATGGACGCCTTGTGCCCTCCACCTCAGTAGGGCCTTGCCTTTTCGGGAGTCAGGGGAGGGGCGCAGCACCACCCCACCCCCGTCCAACCCACACTACTGAAGACTGACAGTATATTGGGTCCCTACAGGCCCTCCGTGGCCCAGGTACCCTGCACACTGACCTGGAGGCACTCCAGCTGGTGAGCACGTGGTCCCTGGGCTGGTTTGGGATGGCTTGTGAAGGTCACTTTCCAAGAAGGAATCACATGGTCAGCTGGTCTGGGGCGTGACTCTGCTTGCCTGTCATGAGCAATTAGGCCATCTTACTGCCCAAAGCTCCATGCTGGGAGCAGAGAGTCCTGGGGCCAGCTTGTGCCCCTGTAAGTGGTGTTCCTGCTGCAGGAGCACTTTCAAGGTTCCTGGGGGTGGGAAGGAGCTTTTGTTAGTTTCGAGGAGGCATTTTACTGCCCAGAGCCCTCCACCTGCACACCTCAGCCACAGGTAGTGCGTCTTCATGCAGGTGAGGCCTCGCAGCCCTGCCCTGGGTCCCAGTCAGGCACTGCTCCTGTGGGGCTTGGATGTTGAGTCCCATGAAGCCTCTCACCTGGTTCCATGCATGGCCTTGGAAGGCTGTTCCCAGGGCTCCTTGCTCATGTCCTGCTTGTCCGGCACTTGTTGCTTTCCTAAGAGTGCTCTTCTGAGATGTGCCCTCTGTGCCCATCCTCCCTGCCTTCCTTCCCTGCATGGGAGCCTGGCTTGTGCAGCGCCCTGCTCCTGCTTCCCTCCACTCGGTGGGAGGCCTGGTGAGGCCTGGGTTCCATTCCCAGCCCTGCCGCCCAGGCGTGCTCCTCCCCCCCTAGACATCCGGGCCCTTCCCTCCCGCCCCACTCCTGCTCTGCTGTGGGCGCTCCCCTTGTCCGTTGCCAGCTTCCCTGGGCAGGTGTCTACCCTTCTGCTCATCGTACTTAGGGGAACTGCGCACAGCAGCTGGGGTGGTTCTGTTTCCTTTTGGTACTGGGGACCAGACCTCCGGGGCACTTTACCTGGTTTGTCCCGGCACGCTGCGATTACAGGCGTGGGCCACTCACCTGGCACAGTGGGTGCTTAACAGTTAAGTTTCTCCACTTGTGGTGTCGCCCCCGTCCGGCGGGCTTTCTCCATACCAAGCGCCGGTTTTCCCAGCCTGGCAGAGTTGGCATACAGCAACTGTTTGCTGAATGACTAATGAGCTTGCGCGCTGGTCAGGGCCTGGGTGAATTTCTGGACTGCCCAAGCTTTTGTGCGGCGATTGTGCACGGCTGGACAGAGTAAAGCCACTGGGCGGCTCCTTCTTCTGCCCCTTCCAAGACCTCCAGGCGCCATAGAAGCCCTCCTCCCTGAACCCTCCAAGTCCCTGGCCCCCCTCAACACTGAAGGGCTCCTCGGCCGCATTGGACCCTGCCCCTCAGCCCTCTGCCCACGAGGGTCTCCATCCTCTCATCTTCCATTGGGAGGATCTCAGACAACCCTCACCAGGTATCCCCAGAGCTCACTGGACCCCCTCCTTCGCCGCCTTTCGGAGGAGCCCCGCCCTGTCCCCTCCGAGTGACCCCTCCCAGGCCCTTCCTCGCGCAGGCGCAGGGCTCCCGGCCGCGGCCCCCGCCCCCACCTTGCAGCCGCCGAGGGGCGGGTGCGCGCTGTCCAGGACGGCCACGGCTCCATGGGGCTCCTGGGGCTCCTGAGCCTGCTGCACTCATCCTTCTTCGGGGACCAGGTAGGGTATGGGGTCCGGGCTGGGTTTGAGGGTCCTGTCCTGGGCGCGACCAGGGTGGGGTCCGACCTGCGGAACCGCAGTCCCTCAGCGAGGGGCTAATGGACTAGCGCACAGACTTGACGGGTCGGGGGTCTCACGCAGTTACCCAGGAGACGGTTGTCAGGGAAACCGCAGTGGAGTTCGCGCCGCGGGGAGCCCCTCCCTTGCACTGCAGGGAACCCCCAAACCCGATCTGCGCAAGCGCAGGCTTTGCGGGGCGGTGGGGGGCAGCCCCCCAGCCTCAGGAAGACCCTCTGACCCCTCCCTATTGCGCGCACACGCTCGCGGAGAAGGGCCCATCAGGGTGCAGCGGTGGGAGCGCGCGATATGGAGACAGCCAGGCGCAGGATGGAGGGGCTTGGCCACGCCCTGCACCTCCCTAGTCCTCAGTTTCCCCTCTGGGCGCCCAACTTGGGCCCACTTGGACCTTCACCAACGCTGACGTTCAGAACATTCCATCCCACCAGGCCGAGCTTGCCGGCCTCCGTGGTGACCTGAGTTCTAAAGCTTAACATCCCCATCTGAGGGGAAACTGAGGCTGGGGTACAGCAATGAGTCCAAGGTCATAGGCCTCGAGCAAGGCCGGGGCTTGAGGGCGGGCACTGA